CATGGGTGAGGCGCTCTCCCTGCATGTGTGTGTGCACATGGGTGAGGTGCTCTCCCTGCATGTGTGTGTACACATGGGTGAGGCGTCTATGGGTGTCAGAAGAACGTGTAGGGTCCTCAAGTGGGAACTTCTAGTTCTTTGGAAAGTTAGTTATGTCAAGTGTTGTTTTGCTGGGCACACAGGAAAGGATGTCTTGCTAAAGCAAACACATGAAGAACTGTTTTCCTAAGGCAGACACAGGAGAAAGGATGTTTGGTATAGCAGACACATGAAAGGACACTTCACGAAGGAGTATAAATATGACCCCACAGACAGTGGGAGAGAAGCATGGGTTTGGTTTCTCCGCCTCGCTATTCTTCACTAGAGACACACATGAATTGGTTCACCTTGCATAGCATTGTTGAGCTCAACTTGTGATAACGCCACCTTTGAGAGAAACTCGGCCAAGAACTGCTCGTGAGGTTCCTGCGGCAGATGGCCGCTTCCGCAGCCTCACCTCAGGCCGGTCGGTGAGCCTGGTGGTTTCTTCAGGACTGTACTACAGCTGCCTGGTGTCTGCTTGCTGAAAGGACTGGACGGTAGCTGCTGGTTGGTGCCTGGTGTCTGCCTGGCTAGAGGACTGGTCTGCAGCTGCTGAGTCGTATTCGGTGTTTGCTACAGGACTGAACTGCTGCCAAGATGGAGCTCACCCCCAAAGAACTATTATTGCTGAGCAGGTCCACTTCCCCCATCCTAGTAACTTTTCTCTTCCACTACCTCTGCTGAGAGGTGGGCTAGAGAAGAGGCTGAATGCTTATTAAAAGTAGGTTGCAAAAAAGTTTATGCCTACAGGGTCCCTTGGAGCTGGAGTCACAGATGCTGTGAGTTGCCATGTGTGTGCTGGGAATGTAACCCAGGTCCCTCTGCAGGAGCAGCCAGTGCTCTAACCACTGAACCGCCTTTCTCTCTTTTATATTAAAATTGGCAGACCAGCCGGGCGGTGGTGGCGCACGCCTTTAATCCCAGCACTCGGGAGGCAGAGGCAGGTGGATTTCTGAGTTCGAGGCCAGCCTCGTCTACAGAGTGAGTTCCAGGACAGACAGGGCTACACAGAGAAACCCTGTCTCGAAAAACCAAAAAAAAAAAGGAATCACTGTGTAGCCTTGGCTGTCCTGGAACTGGATATGTAGACTAGGCTGGCCATGAGCTCATGAGCTATCTGCCTCATGAGTACTGGGATTGGTCTGTGACACCAGGCTCAGCCTTTTGTACTGGGTGAGAGGCGGGCAATGTGGATGCTGCTGGGTCCCAAAGACCTGTAGCAATCATGGAACTGAGGCTTGGTTCTGTCTTCTTCCTCACAGGCTCACAGGCTGCCACTTCCCCTCCACTACTGAGGAAAAGGGACTCTCTGATGCCCCGAGTCCAACTCTGTCCCCACTCCTAACTGGCTCAACTCCAAAATACAGATGGACAGGGGGATTCTGGGTCGTCATTAAATCAAAGTAGACTGGAATCTGAAGACAGCAGCTACTGGCTGGTTCCAGAGGCAACTCGTTGGAGATAGCCACCATTTTTAAGACACCACTGCAGATGCAGACATCTGTTAAACAGATTCCCTGCACAGGGACCACAGCTAAAGGGGAGGCTCCAGGTGAGGGAAGCTCAGGGACGGCAGTTACTGACAGGTACCCCACAGCACATGTCGGTGAGGACAGCAGGCTGCTGCGGTTCATGGTTCCATCCACCCACCCCTTGGTGCCCCGGTGACGGCACGGCCCTCACCTTCTCCACGTGCAGTGCCAGCTTCACCCCATTGTGCAGCCAGGACAGGGCCACGATGGGGTCCCCCTCCACCTGGCTGCCCACGGAGCTCTCCCAGCTGTTGGCCAGGTGGCCAGCCATGCTCCAACATTTGATCTGCCCGTCAGCATCAGCAGACAGGAGCCGGGACCCTGTGATGAGAGACATGTGTGAGGAGCTCTTCTGACAGGCAGGGAGACTGCTGAGTGCTCCCTCCCCACTCTGGACTCCCAGTGAGCGGGGGCTGTCTCCAGGCTCTGGACTCAGGACTGAAAGGAAGGCAGCATACTCTTACGGCCTCACCTGACTGGTCCCACTCCAGGCAGGTGATGGCCTCGCTGTGGCCAGAGCTGACAGAGTGCACTTCCCAGGGGTGTTCCGTGTCTAGGATGTGGATCATGTGTGTCAGGTCTGTCTTGGAGAGAGCACTGAGGTCAGCATGACTCACGGTGCCCGTGACCCCCCCCCCCATTGCACCTCTTCTATAAGGTCCGCCATGACGCTAATCCCTGGACAGGGTATCCGGTACAGCCATAATGTCACTAAAAATAGAGTTGGAGGATGGTGACCAGAATGTGGATATCTCTTCTCTCACCTTGCTTCCCTGCCTCTCTAAACCCACTAACTGGCACCTGGCTCTGGCACCAAGAGAGCTTCCAAATTGGGCCACACTGCATCAGGAAATCTGAGGCACAGTGGATCCACACCTGGCAAGCCCACCCACAAGGTCCTGATCCCCAGGTCCCAGGCAGGTCAGGAGAGCAGGTCACTCACCCTGGTCATCGTTGCGTAGGTCTGTGGTGAAGGCAATGAGGTTCCTGCAGGACCAGGCGCAGGCCAGGGGCAGGGACGGGCAGTACGTGCTCTTGGTCCACTTCTCCCATTCGCACACGTAGGCCAGGTCCATCATTCCCACCGCACCCAGCACGGTCCCTGGCTCCTGGGGAAAAGAGAGGCATTGCTCTATAGCAGCTCCCAGCTAAAGCGGGTCTAGAATGTTCTCCAGCCCTGCTAGAAATTCCATGATGATCCTTCTGAGGTCACCCCTCTATAGGCCACCTATTACCCACCCAGATCAGCCTGAGCTCAGCCTACAAGCGCTAAGCACTCTTCACACACATACCGGGCCCACCACTACCACTGGGCCACAGTCTACACTCTAGTTCAGTCCCCAAGCCTTGCCCGGACCTAGTAGCTCAGCCCCCGCCCCAGCCCATTAGTCACACCCAGAACAAGTTAACATCCAAGGCCCACTTCACCTCGTCCCGCCCACACTGTCTAATCACCCTAGGCTCTGCCTCCAAACCAAACTACTAACTTCGGCCCGGCTTCTACTCAGCTTGTGACTGAGTGCAGGTCACCACTCCCCTGCATCAGTCTCAGATCGTCAGCCTCCCACTCCCGACCCACCTTAGACTCCGTTCCCTAGGCCACAGCCCTCTCCATCAGTCTTATTTCTTCAGGCTCCGCCCCTCCGTCCAGCGTCTGACCATCAGGCCACGCCCCTCCCGGGAGTCCCAGCCCCTCGGGCCACGCCCCCTCAGCTTAGTTGCTTCAGGCTTCACCTCCAGCTCGGATGCCAATCACATCCCTCCTACACCAGCCTCTACCCAGAAAGCTTTGTTCCCAGGCCCGCCCTCTGACCCCGCAGGCCCCGCCCACCGGCCTTCCGCTCGCAGGCCTAGCCCGAAACGCACTAGCCACGCATCCCGTAACCCGCACCCCGCACTGACCTGTCCGCCCCGGGCGCCCAGTCGGCCGGGGGGCCGCGGTCCACACTCGCCCCAACGCCCGGGATCCGATGCCGCCATCTCTCGGCCTGCGCCGGCCCCCTCGCACAGACTTCTGGGAGAACCCCGGCTACGCCCCTGCCCCGGTTAATTTGCATACAATAATTCCTAGTAACTATTGAGGCTAAATATGCGATAAAAGGACAATCTGTTCTTTCTAATAACTGGCTACATTTTACATAATAAGCTTAGCTTTCTATAAGAAAGACAAATATTAAATTAGCCAATTAAAAAAAGTCCTCCTAAGTGTAAAATGACTGAATTTTAGGATTATAAATATCTCTTGAACAAGCACATTTTTCGTGCTCGCTTCGGCAGCACATATACTAAAATTGGAACGATACAGAGAAGATTAGCATGGCCCCTGCGCAAGGATGACACGCAAATTCGTGAAGCGTTCCATATTTTGTCCTCTCTTCCTTAGAGGAACTACAGCCGACTTACTCGCTTTTTTTCCATTTTGTTTCTTGACAGAATGGCTCACTGCTCACTGTGTAGCTCAGGTTGGCCCCCTCACACTGATGAGGTCTTCTTCCTGCGGGGATGCTGGGATGCCAGTGGTGCACCACCTGGCCATGGTCTGTGTGTGTGTGTGTGTGTGTGTGTGTGTGTGTGTTGCACGCACGTGCCTGCCACAGTGCAGGTAAGAGGACACGGAATTGGTTCTTTCCTTCCTCAGATTGTCAAGCTTGGCGGCAAGCACCTTAATCTGCTTAACCATTTTGTTAGGCCTCAAGTGACTTTTGTTTGTATGAGGCAGGGTGTCACTGTGTGGCTGGCCCTGGCTATGTAGACCAGCTAGCCATGAACTCAGAGATCCATCAGCCCTCTGGCTTTGAGTGCTGGGATTCAGGGATCCAACACCAGACCTGTCTATCATATGTGGCCCAGGCTGGCCTCAAACTCACTTGACCCACTGGTCACTATGTGGTGTATGTGGTGCTAGGGCTGGAACCCAGAGCTTTGAGCATGCTAACCAATTGCTTTCCCCACCGAGCCCCAACCTTTAAACATTTTACATGTTTTAATGAACTAATGCATCGACATGTCCAGATTTCCAGCCCACAGCCCTCAGTGACCTTTCTTTTTTTTTTTTTTTTTTTTTTTGGTTTTTCGAGACAGGGTTTCCCTGTGTAGCCCTGGCTGTCCTGGAACTCACTCAGTAGACCAGGCTGGCCTCGAACTCAGAAATCCGCCTGCCTCTGCCTCCCGAGTGCTGGGATTAAAGGTGTGCGCCACCACCACCTGGCCTTTTTTTTTTTTTTTTTTTTCCTCAGTGACCTTTCACTCTCATCCCATCCCACCCACCCCCACCAAACCTAAAGACAAGCACATGGCCAGGACCCGAGCACCAAGGCTTTATTAAAAGTGTCCCTTTCCCCCAAGCACAAAGAATCACACAGAAAGGGGAGGGAGTGCGGGCCAGGCCTGCTAGACATGTAAGGCCTCTGCAGTGACCACAGCTATGCTGGGCAGCAGAGGGGACAGGAGAGGGACAAGGTACACAAGGTCAGAGGCTTCTGGCTGGAAGTCCTGGATCCTTGGTATACGGAGAGGGGAGAAAGAAGGAGAGGGAACTATCTAAAAGGTAGGCCCAGGGAGCTGGGGACAACACATCACCAAAAAACGCATAAAATGAGCCCTTGAGACAAAGCTTGTCCAGGTTTACAGGGCACATGGTGTGCATACATGTGCACACACATACACATACATACACACACACACACACACACACACACAAAACAAAGTGCCCTGGGGGGGCCAGCAGAGTCCTAGAGAGAACCAACCACCCTCATCAGAGCTGAAACCTAGAGGGGTCAGGCAGGGGTCAGAAAAGAGCCCACTACCGGTAGGCTGGCGCTAGGTGCTTTGGTTGTGCCTCCCCACATCAAAAGAGAAATTAAAAGAAATCTACCCCCAAACATGCCAAGTTCATTAAAATTGATTAGGAGGAGAAAAAAAAAGAAAAGTCTGCTATGCTTTGCCTGAGCTTCAGACTGGGCCAAAGAAAGCAAAACAGGGAAAACACAGGGAAATGCCCCGGCCAGGTCTCCCCAACCAAATACAAGTACCAGGGTGGGGTGCTACAAGGCCTCCCTGTGCGATATGGGACATGAAGGGGCAAGGGGAAGGAGATTCCTGAAGGGAAGGGTGGTATTCAAACTCTGAAAGCGTGGAAGAGATTATGAGCAGACGGGTCTGGGCCAGGCGAGGTGGCTGGCAGGGGCTCTCCATCATTGCTGGTCCAGGTAGGCAGACAACAGCAGCTCCGGAGGCAGGAAATCCAGGTGGCGGTTGCTGACCTTCATCTGCCTCCGGCCCTCCAGGTCAGCACCTGCGGAGAAACCACTGCGGGCTGCAGAGCTGGACAAGAGGCTCAGTGTGTGGAGGACTCCCTGCCATGCATGAAGCCCTGGAGGCTGGAGGGTCCGGAGTTCAAGACCAACCTTGACTATGCACATACTGCACCGGAGGCCAGCCTGGACTACACCAGCAAGCCTGCCTAAACAGCTAAGGAAAGGGATGAGGACGGTCTGGCTAGCCATGAGCTGTGAGTCTGTCTTGAGGCTTCCCACTTGGTCCAGACCACAGCTCAAACCAGAGAGAAACCTCCCCCCACATCCCTCCCAATTCTCAGTGTGAGAAAACAGGCAGGTGAGGAGCCCAAAGCATCCGCCCACAGAGGGAAACCGGAAGAACCAAGTCCAAGGGTTGCCATGGAAACCATCACCGTCAGCAACTCTAAGCAGGAAGCAGAGACAGGTACTAGCAAAAGAGAAGGCCCAGAAGGAGCACCAGAGCCCCTGAGGACTCACAGCCATCATTAGAAGTCGACAGAACTGTAACTAGGAAACCAGGAGCAAAGGCCTGTGCCCTGGGACCTGGGCTCTCACTGGACACTGTCTCCTTTTTCTCCAGGTCTGAGGTAGATCCTCAACTCCAGACTGGAACAACCTCACCTAGGTCCCCTTCCCTGGAGCTGTGGATGGAGGGAGTCTGCCCACCAGAAGCCCAGGACCTCATGACCACTGCTGTGCCATCAAGCCATCACAATACACCCTGGGGGTCTCCCGCTAGCTGACCCCGGGAAGAATGCGGTGACGGGCAGTGCGGAGCAGGTACTCACTGGCTGAGATGAGATCCATGTACTGGCACACAGCGTGAAGCAGGAGCCTCTCATAGCTGGGGAGGAAGGGCCATGAGAGGCTGAGCCAGAGTGGGGACAGGCGACCATCCCGTCCCCTCCTCAGCCCCTGTACCTGTTGTCCAGCATAGCGGTGTACACAGCCTGGGGGGACACCGAGAAGAACGCCAGCAGCCGTTCCTCCCAACTCTCCAGGGTTTCCTGAGGGCGTAGGAAGAGCTAAGAGGTCACATCAAATGCCCTAGCTGTCTCAGGAACTTGAACATCACCTGTCCAGCCCTGTCTTTTGTCTGTCAAATTCCTATACACTCTGCAGCACTCTTTCACCGTCCAACCTTCCTCGACCTAACCACTGCACCACCTGTCCTGCCCCGCGGGGACGCCTGTCATCTCTTCGCTAAGTTAGAATGGAGACACGGAAAGGCCAGGTTGAGAGGGAGATGGGGCACTCACCATTAGAATGGAGACACGGAAAGGCCAGGTTGAGAGGGAGATGGGGCACTCACCATTGGGATGCGGCTGCGCTTGAGCACGGACCGCAGGCGACGGCTGATGCGCCTGAAACACTCGTGGGGTGTGAAGACAGGGTCCTCTGTGAAGGCGGCGAGTGGGAGAGCCCAGAGTGAGCTCTGGCCCCGCCCATAGCCTAGCCACACCCACCAGGGAACCCCACCCCGTGTCCAAGGAACGTCAGCTACAAGGCCCCGCCCCTCAGCCTGGCCCCACCCCTCAGGCCCACCTCTCCGCCGGTCCTCGCTGCGGCCAGGCCCGCGTCTCCGCTTGCCCTGGCCCTCATCCTCCAGGTAACGGAGCACTCGCTCTTGCTCTTCTCCCGAGCGGTTCATAAAATCATTCCAGACCTGGAAGACAGGTCTGCAGACTAGCCCCGAGGCCCCTGGGTCTGTTTCCCATTTGACAAATGGTCACACGAGGCCACCTGGCACATAGGAGCCCATCTGTAAACCACTCGCTCACATGTGTGCAGCATGAGCTGGATGCTGGAACTGGGGTTTCAAAGGATGCATAGGAGTTTCAGCAGGCACGATTAACTCACGTGCCATGGAAACCCCAGTGACATGCTATCATGTGTATAATTAGTCTCCAAATGGGTCCTTTAACATGAAGAGCAGATGACCCAGGATTTGGCAGCATCCAGGGGAGGGGTGGGGAACATCTCAGGGGCTGCAGGGGGCCTTAGGGTCTCACCTCCACATAGGTGGCATTGCTGCAGGCCTCTGCGAAGATGCCAGGTGCTGCGGGACTCAGGTCTCCATCTTCCACCCCTGGAGGGCCCCCAGCTGTTTCCAGCAGTGTGAGGAGGTACTGGGCTGCAAGGGAACAGGCTGGGTTCAGGCAGCATTGGGTCCCTACTTACCTCTAGTGTCCCAATTTTTCTTTTATTTTTTTAACCTGTCGAGTCTCTAGAACCCTGCATATCTCTCCCTGCCTTGCTGAACTTTTATGCACCCTCCAAAGCCCTTATTCTAATGCCTGCCCAGTGGGGGTGTACCACTACCACAGCAAGGGAACCGTGTCCGGACCACACCCCACTCCCTGCTCACTGTTCTCCAGGCGCTGCAGACTCTTCCGCCCTTTGGCTTTGGGCACCAGGTCTGAATTCCGCACGGCTTGGTTGATAAAATGCTGCTTGCGCCTGGAAGCCGAGACCCTCTTCACCTGTGAGCCGCTGAGCGCTGGGAGGCAGCCAGGGAGAGACCTGTGTACCAGGTCAGGAGGTCATCAGGCCCAGGTACAAGTCAGCTCGGGTTTCCTGGCAACAAGGAAGTCACCCCCAGTCCCACCCCAGGACACAGGTTTTGATGCAAGATGGGTAAACGGAGGCTTGCAGAAAGGAAGGCACGGCTTAGTCACACAGAATGGTAACCTTTCTGGTCACCCCCAGCCTTCCAGATTTAAGCCATAAGACATCAAGGCCCACCCTCTGTGCACTCCAGGAGTTAGACCCCAAACCCCTGGAACCCAGACCCTCCAAGCACCCCATGTGCTCGGTAAACCAGAAGAGTCATAGGGTCTCAAGATGACAGCCCAGTGCACCTGCCTGGCACCATGAGAAGCTAATGGGGGAGGGGCAGTTTAATCGCCCCTGGAACTCCTTGGCTACCCTCAGAGCTAACTGAAAATGGTGTCAGTCCTGCAAAGGGATTAGCCTAGCCAGTGCCCAGAAGCTCAGGTACTTGCTTGACAAGAGCGGCAGGAGAGAGTAGACTGGGGGGAGCACCGTGGCTGGGGGAGGAAGAGCAGCAGGCTCCGAAAGGCCTGATCCAGGGTCCCCATCAACACCACATCTGCCCTCCTGGCTGCCTCTTTCAAGAGGGGTCATGGCCCGGAGCTACAGCTCTGGTAGAGACATTCCTTTATCCCCTAGAGACACCCAGTGGCTGCTCTAAGTTCTCAGTGGACCTGGCGGGTTGGGAAGGGACACCTGCCTGCCTGGCTCCCTGCCAAGAAGGGAGAGTCAGTCCCACCTCTACAGTCTCTGAGCAGGGCGAGGCCTGAGGTTAGCCCAACTATCAACTTTCTACTGGGTCCTAGGCCTACACTCAAGGTTATATCAACTCTGAAGTCTGAGGCTGAACCACCTCTGTCCTAGCTTCACCCGAGGCTGGTACTGCCTGATAAGGAACCTCGGCTGTCCTACAGGAAGGACAGACAGACACAGCAGGGAAAGGGGCTCAGAGCAGTCTTCCGGACAGATGTGAACATGGGACCCGGCTTGGACAACTGAGCTCGCTCACACCAAAGCCCAGCAGGCTGGCGCCACACCTGTTCTGGTGCCCACCATGGCTCTGTGGTGCCCGCAGGAGCCCCTGACACTCCTTGGCCTGGTACCGCAGCACCCAGTCTGTGCTCAGTCCTAAAGGCTTTGGGGCATCTCCAAGAGCCCCAGGAAACAGAACTGCACCCTGAATTAAAACCTGTCAGAGACCTCTGTCACAAACGCCTCTCCAGGTTCTGCCTGATTCGGGTCTCTGTCTGAACATCACCTCCCAGAAGGTGGCACAGCCCGTCCAATCGTGCAACCAGCACTTGCTGCTGCCATGCCAACTGGGAACCATCCGGTCTGAGGTGTTTACTCCTCAGTCTGTCCTCCCGTGTGCAGCTGGCAGCTCACAGGCGACAGGACCCACGAGGCTTGCTGAACGAGCAACCTAAACTTCTGGAGTGTGTTGAATGAATACTGCTTTTCCAATAACCAGGCTACTTTACTGAAAGTGAGGCTGAGGACGCAGAGGAGGTGTCTGACAACTCAGAGTGTGACCAGCACCTACAAGGGGTGGCTGGAACACAGAGTAGACAGGGCTAAGTCCATGGGGCTTGGAGGACTCAGTCCTTTCCGAATTCTTGCTGGTTGAGTAATGGGCTCACCAAGACACACCTTGGCTACAAACACACCCTTCTTTGGCAGACACTCCCGGAAACGCAGAGAACCCACTTCCCCAACAGGAAGTGGGGCGGAGGTGACTCAGGCCCTGGACACCCAGCAGGCAGGTGAATACCTGGGTGAGGCCCTGTGAGAAGTAAGTCACAAAAACTTGAACTCAGCTACACTAGAGACACAGGACACTCAAGACAGCTAAGCATGGTTGAGGATCAGGAGGCTGAGGCACGAGGATCAGCTCATGATCACCCACAGCTGCACACAGAGATGGGGGCCAGCCTGGGCTATGTGAGACTCTGAGTCAAATAAATAAAACAAAACACAGGCTGGGGAGAATGGCTCAGTGGTTACAGTGATGGCCACTCTTGTAGAAGGGCCAGGGTTCCGTTCCCAGCACCAACACAGTGGGTCACAACTATCTGTAACTCCAGGATCCAGCTGACCTTGGCAGGTACCAGGCACACATGTGGTGCACATACACACACACACAGAGACATACACCTGCATATGTACAGACAAAATGTCCATAAACATAAAATATTAAAAATAAATAAACAGCCGGGCGGTGGTGGCTCACGCCTTTAATCCCAGCACTCGGGAGGCAGAGGCAGGTGGATTTCTGAGTTCGAGGCCAGCCTGGTCTACAGAGTGAGTTCCAGGACAGCCAGGGCTACACAGAGAAACCCTGTCTCGAAAAACCAAAAAAGAAAAAAATAATAATAAATAAATAAATAAAATCCAACAAACAAAGGTAGAAGCAAATAGAACCCTGATTACTGGACGCCATGGGGAAGGAAGGCCTTTGCCACCCCATCCCGAGTCTGAGAAAGTCAACTGTCCACATCCAGATTGGGGAAACCAAGGCACAGAAAGGCTCAGCTAGCTGGCCAGGGGGCCAAGGCGGCTCTTCACCCACAAATGTAGCTGTTAGGGCCATGGGTCACAGGACCTGAATTCCTGAGTAGCCACATACAATGAGCTGCACACTGCTGCCCCAGGCTACAGTACAGCCCACCACTCTGGGAACTGACCCCAGAGACACAGAGTGACCATGCCAGGGCAGTGAAGGTCACGGGCACCACAGAGAGTGGCTGGGAAATGCCCCTGGCAGCAGTTCTCCCGTCCAGAGGGCTAGGAAGGGGAATGAAGAGAAGGTAGCCTGGGGCCAGGTCAGTGAGCCCTCAACTGAAGCCCAGAGCAGGAGGCCCCTGCTTCTGTGGGTGAGCAGCCAGAGAAAGGGGTGTGGGTGGAGGAGTGACAGAAGGCATCCATGGGGGAAAGTGGGAGGACAGGAACACGGAGTAGGGAGCAGAAGAGAGAAAAAGGAAGAGAGGAAAGCGGGGGAGAAAGACCCCAGCCTGGGGAGAAGGAGGAGGAGACCCCAGCCTGGGGAGGAGGAGGAGGAGACCCCAGCCTGGGGAGGAGGAGGAG